CACTTGTTTTTCGGAAGTGGTTTGCCAGAGCCTCCTTCCTAGGGCAGAGCCCAGCTGGCGAGCGCAGGAGGCGAGGTTTCTGTTGCTTCGCGCCCTTTTCGGGCGCGTGCAGTTTTTCGCGCTTACTGGCAACTGCTCTGATCAATTAATATAATGCCAGAAGCAACACCTGGAGCACCGTTGGAGAAAGACAAAGTGAATCCGACCAAACATGAGTAAGAGCCCACATTCAGGCCTATGTTGTAGTGATAAGGGCAGCGAAATGTTGCTATTTCTCCACCCTTATTGTGTCTGCCGATAGCCACCCAGTGGCCCTGTTTATGGTGACCCACCAATGGAGCAATAACAACGGAGCAATATTCATGCTTTCTGGTGGGACAAGTTGCTCAGATTCCCTTGGAGTTGGACTCTGACTGGGCAAGTCAGGTGAGTGACCTAGGGCACAGGCCTGTGATGTTATTTGAACTGATTCTTTTACGCCTGAGGAAGTGGACAAGATCCTTCTATCTGTTAGTTCAGCCACCTGTTGGTTAGGCCCTGGCCCTTCCTGGGTTATTAAGGCAACCTGGGAGGTGACCACAAGGTGGGTCTGTGTAGTGGTTTCAGCCTCTGAGAGAGGGTTGTCCCACCAGCTTTAAAGTATACAGTGGAACACTCCTCATGAGGTCATTGCTGGACTCCTCCATGTTGGATAATTATTGGCCAGTTTCTAATTTTCCCTTTTTGGAGAAGGTTGTAGAAAAGGTGGTTGGATGACAGCTACAGAAGATCCTGGAGAAAATAGATTATCTAGACCCGTTTCAGTCTGGTTTCAGACCAGGGTACAGTATGGAGACAGCACTGGTCGTGCTTATTGATTACCTTTGGTGGAGCCAGGATGGGGGCGGTGCGTCTATCCTAGTGCTACTTGATCTCTCATCAGCTTTTGGTACCGTCTACCACAGTATCCTTCTGGACTGGCTATGGAGGTTAGGAGGGGGAGGCACTGTGCTCCAGTGGTTCACATCCTTCTTCAGTAGTTGGTTCCAGTCGGCGTTGGTGGGGAGGGGGGAGATTGCGTCTCATGTACGGGGTGCCTCAGGGCTTGATGCTCTCTTCTCTCCTGCTTCACATCTACATGAAACCACTAGGTGAAGTCAGCTGCTGGTTCAGTGTTTGGTATCATCAGTATGCTGATGATACTCGGTTCTACATCTTAACCCTGAGCTGCACAAGTGAAGGTGTTGATGTATCGACCCAGTGTCTGGAGGCTGTTTGGGTCTGGATGGGGCAGAACAGACTTCGGCTCAATCCTGACAAGACAGTAGCTGTGGCTGTTTCGCCCCCCAAGGTTGGGGATGTTACCATCATTAGTCTTGGATAGGGCTGCACTTGCCATTCTGGATGGTGCACAACTTGGGGGTCCTTGCAACTACTTCTCAAAGAGCAGGTGGCAGCTATGGCCAGGAGGGCCTTTGTAAAGGTACACCTGATGCATCAGTTGTGCCCTTTCCTCAGTCAGGAGGCCCTTCAGACCCCTAGTTTCTCGGTCTGTGAAAGAGACAGTGGGAGAATTGTACTTTCAGATTTGCAAGATTCTGTTAATGTAGCTTTACAATAAAGTAGAATTAGCTCATCTGGTCATGCTTCTGTCTGGTCTACCTAGTAAGGCTGACATGAACAGGGTCTCATATCACTTCTGGATGATAATCACTACACTCCCACCCCTGCCCCGGAGTCTCAGCTAATGCCACTCCCAAAACCCAGCTGTGCACATTTCTGAAAGGGCCACCCCCACTTCTGGACCAGCCAGATCTCGGTAATATATGCCAGGTTGGCATAAATCACAGCTGAGGGAGGCCTTATTACAAGCTGACCTGGCATTTAGTTGCAGCAGCTGAAAGCCAGGGCCTGACCGGGTACAGAGGTTGCGATCAGGGAGCTAGAATATGACACAGTTATAAGACACCGGGCTCGTGTTCCCTGAGAACTTGTGGGGGTTTTCCACTTGCTTAGAAATGTGTAAATGACCAAATGTGAATGATCTAAGGCACCTGTACCGTTTGAAATTCCTTGTGTGAAATTAACTATATAAGCTTGCTTGTATGTGTATTCGGGGTCTTTCACTTGCGAATGTTACTTCATGTGTCCTTGTGTGTCTGACCAAGACCAAGATGCTGCAGACCCTTAATAAAATTTGGGGGGCTTTTAATCTTTGTCTTGACTGCGTAGAGGAATGGACCTGAACCTCGCCACTCAGGTGGCAGAGAAGGGAGAAGCACGCTGGGGTTTTTCTGACAGGCCCCACCTGAAAAAAGAAGTCACCAGGACATGTTTATTTTCTGGTAGGTGCAAGTGGAAGTGTTTCAGAACTTGCTTGTTTCAGAAGAGTCTTCAAGGCATGTCAAGAAGGTGGAGTTGCACCTGCTTGACTTTTTTGTACCATTGTTGGCCATGGGGTGACCAACTGTTTGGGACTCATTTTTACCCGGGGCAAGAGAGAGCCAAATTTCGCACAGAATAGAGGGAAGTGTCAGGTTCAGCCCAAAGAACTCCACGAGACAATGTAAATACAGTTCTGTTGCATTTATTAGCTTCAACCTCAGGACAGGAATCTCACCAGACTGAACCCAAGTTCCCAAGCCACAACACCGTGAATTCCTTAGGGAGGTGCCAGCCTCATCTTGAACTTTCCACGCTCCTGTTGGGGGCTAAGAACATGCTTATCTCCCTGAGCCTGGCCTTCATAAGTCCATTCCATCACAGAAAGGCTTTGGTGCCAGCCTCATCTTGAACTTTCCACGCTCCTGTTGGGGGCTAAGAACATGCTTATCTCCCTGAGCCTGGCCTTCATAAGTCCATTCCATCACAGAAAGGCTTTCACCCTTTATTTCTGTACAGAAGCAAAGAGGTGCACTCAGGACCAAAATCCAAACGAAGCACGCAAAGGGGCGTCGTCCAAAGGTTTTTATACATTTCACTAAGCAGGTAACATTCATCACAATTCTCATTGGCTAAAACAAATCCATGGGCGAATGACATCATGCACATGTGTACTACAGTAATACCTCAGTTCACGAATGCTTCTGTTCATGAACAATTCGGTTCGCGAACAGCAGTGTTCGCAAAATTTTGCTTCCGTTTGCGAACTCCGGATCAGGTGACGAACACGACCCGCGGTCATCTTCCCTGCTCTGACACGTGGTCATGGCTTCCTCTAGGCGAGATCGCAGTCGCAGACAGACACTTGCTGTGAAGCTTTTTGGTGTCACCTCCAGCAAGGTTAGTGTTCTCTCTCT